ACGACTCATTGTTATTTCTCATTTATCGGTACAATAACAAAAATCTATCGTAAAGAACTTAAATTGCGCAATAAATGGATTTTAACCATTGATTATTCTTATTTAATGCACGTTTAATTATGCGATTTTATTTTTCTTGTTTTGCTGTTCGTTGGTAAAGTATGTATCTTTCCACGCTATCTCCTCCAAGCATAACGTTGAAGTTTGAACTTAATAATCACATGCAGTGGAGGTTATTTGTATTTTAAATATAATAATCAAATAATTTAATCAAAATGGATTTATTTTTAATTTGAATTATCTTAACCAGGACATTGTCCCACATAAGTTATATATTTTTAATCATGTTTCATTTTAAGCAAAAAATTTAATTTTTTGTGTCGTGGCAGTACTAATCATTGAATACGCAGTCTTAAGATTATTCTCATTTTTAACAGAGATGTGCTATAGATGGAGTAGTGAGATTTGCAAATATGTATAAGTCTTAATCCGTACTTTTAGTCTTTGCAAACAAAACAGTCTCAATTAACAAGATGAATTATTCAACTCAACATTTACCAATTTATGAACATAAAAAGTCAGAAGATTTTGACAAGTTTCCTCGTGAAGAAATACTTTGAATCTAACTTTGCCAGCGTAGCTGCGAACCTATCATTGTTGTCAGAGTTTTTGGCAGCTCTATCATCATTGTTGATACGATGATAAAGCTGCCAAGTTGATATTGAATCAAATCAGCAAGTTTTTATATCATTTAAGCCAATTTTAGAATATTTTTAATAATTATTAATTTACAAATTCAAACATATTTTAATTCTGATTAATTCTTGGTAATCAGGATATAGATTGCAAAACTTTTTAAATAAGTTTTAGGGCGGAGGAATTGGTCTGGGTTTCTCAGACGGCCTTGAATACGACCTTGTCCTTTTATCGATCGAATTCTGTCTGGCCCCCAGACAAATCTACCATTCTCCTAATAATAAAGAACAACAAAATATTTCACACTTCAACGATTAGCTCCACATGAAATATAAGTACATATACAAATCCATAACTTAACTATTTCTAAGCAAACAAAACACCATTTAGTTGAAGATAAGGCACACAAGTGCCGCGCCGTTCAAGGACGCAATTTAAGTGAAATATTTTCAAATAGGTTATTTTTTGCTCGATAAAAATGAAAACGCGTAAACTTTCTCCAAGTAATGGTCGAAAACATTCCGTTTGTTTATTGCGCGTTTCGTAAAAAAGGCTAATAAATAAAACGTTAACAATTAACCGTGATTAGTACTGAAAATTCTATATGTTAAGCTTACAAAACAAAAAGATTTCTACGAAAGAATGCACATTTTTTTTTAATTTGCAACGTATGGTGGATAATCGATATACTATACGGACTATAACATACCGTTGTATACGTAATAGCCAAGCTTCAATTACGATAAATCCGCTTAATAATGCAGGAAACATTTTCAATATTAATTTTGAAAAATTCGATGCATTTTTAGATATTACTTCCAGATTAATCATATCAGAAAAATATATAATTTTAAAAACTTTAATTACATAAAAATTATAAGATTACTTCATTTATAATTAAAATTCTAGGTAATTTTAAATAATACTTATAATATTTATATTTTTATTTGAAGTTAAACCCAGAATGTTAGAACTTCAAATCATTTCAGTTACGTATTCGAAGAATCGTTATAAGGTTTTTGACCTGTGTGAAATCATCGACATCTTTTTATTTATGTTTAAACATTTATTAATATTTTTTTTAAAGTGTTATGGAGAATCACATTTCATAAACGAATGTATGGAGACGCTATAAAAACATATAAGGAACTCAACAGTAATACCAGTGCAAAAATGATTGATATCCAAACAAGGTTTGAGGATAATACCACAGTTTATTACCTACATTATTAATGTTGTTTTACACCTATAAAATAAATCAATTTTATTGTACAATATCTCCCAAAATGATTAACACACTAGAAGCAACGGTAATTAAGAAACTCATAAATGCAGTATTACTTTGTAGGAGTTCATTTAAATTAATACTGGGAAATGTCAATGTGGTGCAATGATGATAAGGACAGAACATGAAATATGCTTAGTATAACAAGAATGATTATTGCAATAAAATATTTCTGAAAACCAACACACGTCTAAAAATTCCTTATAAATCGTCCAAAAACATCTCTGATAGAACGTAAAAGGTGACGAGTTCATCCAAACAGTCTTTTTCGGTAGAATAAACGTTCGTGTTGTATTTGGTTTTAAATTTATCTCAAAGAAAATCTGCTATTCTTAGATCGGTTGTAAATGGTCATTACAAAAACTTGCACGATATAAAGCTATCTGAAGCGAATCTGTAGTTAAAGTTGTTTTGCAAGAATTACTTAATTTTGAAAAAGGCAAAATGCATTTTACTTAGAATTCAATATATTGCCACTTTATTATCTATTTCTAATCGGGACATTAAAAATAAAGTGGCGTAATTTTATTAGAAATCTAAATTTAGAAAATAGTGAACTCTACTAAATGATGATGCATATTGTGTCTGACAGATTACATTTTAACACAGTTTGTGAGGAGTGGTTTTGTGTAGATTTCACGGTAACAGTATTTTCACAAAATCTATTTTGTAGATGAGTTTGCTTATATCTTCTTGGTGAGTCACCTCTTACAATATGTATTTTTATATATTTCAATTTTATTTTATAAGCATTTTATTCATTAAACTAAGATTAGAACTAAAACTAGAACTAACACTAGAAGCTTTCGGGTTTTGCCGTGCGTCTTTTAATAAAAGGTTTGACGTTTCGGATGCCATGTTGCAACCTTCTTCAGAAACTGGTTCGAAGTGACTTCGTACTTACATTTTATTCATCTACCAGGAATTTCATATAACTCGCAATAAATTAATGCAGTAACTATAGTTACGAAACTACTACTGTTAAGACGACTAAATCTGAATGATTCTAGTTCTAGTCTTGTAATAGTGCTAGTGCGATACTAGAACTAACATTAGACCGAGAATTAGAATCATTCGGATTTAGCCGCACGTCTCTCAAGACGGCTAAACCCGAATGATTCTAGTTCTAGGTCTTGTGTTAGTTCTAATGATAATGCTAGTGTAAAACTAGAACGAACAGTAGACCTAGAACTAAAAAATATCGGATTTAGCCGTGCGTCTGAAGAGGGAAAAGTGAGGGAAAAATTCTAGGATGATCATAATTTTACAGCCTTTTATCATTTTGTAGTATTTACAATCGATAAAGATTACATTCCGTGTTCAATATGTATTGAATTTGTTAGTAGTGCATGTTTGTAAGTTTATCTTAATCGCTAAGCATGCGTGTTTTTTTGCAATTTTGAGCAAATTTTCTTTGCACATGTCCAATGCACTCTCTTCATCAAAGAGAAATGGAATCACATTTTGCTTATTAATATTAGTTTATCTCAGGTCTCAAAACCACCTCCATTTATTCCAAGATCCAGTATAATTTGTTAAAAATTCTTGCTCGTGTTTCTCGTAATACCGTTATTTACATATCCCTTTCTATGTAAGCGTCAGTGCTTGCTTTGCTCTTTGAAACTACAGGCTTGACAGTATCCGCTATTGTAACATGAAGATTGTTACATTTCTAATCTGAAATCTAACATTGTTAAGAGAAAGATGATATATCTTTACTTTTTCATGATCTGTCTCTCAAAACAAATAAATAATTTCTTGATTGTATTAAAAGTTCGATTTGGATTTGTTTTTAAATTTGATACAATGTTTTGAAACTCTATATTAATAGTGAAATATGTTATGGGGTAAAAAATAAAGCGCAAGCGCTAGAAAACACCCTCTTGGGTTCACCGCGTTAAGGTCATAGTAGTAGTACGCGGACTCCACCCTATTTATTGATCCGAACCGATCAATCTCACGTTACGTTTACGTTTTAGTCACGTGGTTTTCCATTCAGGAAATTTCACAACAATCCTAACGTTAAATTTTTTTCAATTTTATTTACAATTTGCATTTTAAATTAAAAAATGATTATCATAACGGTGACGAAACTTCGATAAGCATTATGTATATGTTTATTTGGTTGTGGTATCGTATCACATTATTTTATCATTTATTTTCCGTTGACTTTGAATATTCGTTTCCTTTAAAATCTTTTCGAAACCGTCTCGAATCTCTTTCAATCGGCTCCAATAGTTGCAATACCCGAAAAACGTTCTTATCGCAACCGTATTCTCACGCTTCTAGAAAAGTCCGCTTTTAGGGGGATGTGTTGTGGGGTGTTTTTGGGGTTCGAAATAGATAGGGGCCCTTCTTGATAATGCTATAGGGGTGAGATGTTTTAAGAAAAACAACGTGAATTTTGCGTTGTATTGGAACTAATAATATAATGGTAACTTATTTTAGTTTTCTACTTGACATTTGTCGCCGGACGTCAGAGATTATCGAATTTGAGCCTTGAATTATTTATAGCAGGTTATTTTTTTTTCTACATCGTATTTTGAATTCAATTCGACCACGAAAAGTGAATTACCATTCCGGACGAACTTTACAACAAATTTAATTCAGATCGAGATCACTTTATGTTTATTTACAAGTTTAAATGTATAACGTTAAGGGAAAAGTACAAAAATTTAACGAGTGTTAAATCGAAGATGAATCGATTTTAAGAGTTTTCAAACAATAACAGTTTTAGGGTGTTTCGTTCTAAATCAATCCAAATCATATTCGATTCTATATGGAATGGATAACCAATTATTATTATTTCAGTGCTTTTAAATCGAATCATCTTGAACAAAATTCTATATAGTTCTAAAGGATTGAAGGTGGTGGGGAAATTGTGGAGGGGTAGGTTTTGTCGTAGCCGCAGTCTGGTCGGTTTTATGTGGGGTAGTTTTCGGTAGGGTGAGAACTCCGGTGTCTGCTGCCTGCCCTATTGTTAAATAACCGGCGCAGCCGTCAGAACGTCTAAATCGCGGATTTCGCGTAGGATTCACTCTCCTCCCTTCTTCTTCTTCATATGCGTCTCTTCCTCCCACGCTGGCACGTTGAATCGACCGTGGTAGTCGTCGTCGTCGTAGACGTCATCGGTCCGTTCTAATTCCGCTCGCTATTTTCGAAGTCGTATCCGAATTAGACAGTGTCGCGACGTGAACGTTATCCAAACTGATACTTTTGTTATTAAAGTCGTTATTAAGTGATTGCTGTTTTTTTTATTTAGTTTTTTGTGACTTTGAAAGTTTTGTGATTTGAGAGAATTTAGTTTGTTCGTTCATTGCCGGTTGTTGATTATAAAGGTGAGCAAACCCGGTGTTTGCTACGGTATTTCCGGTTTGTTCTGTTCTTAGTCATCGTGCCAACGGTCTTTTTTCTCGTTTTTTTTAGTGGATTTTTAAACATGGCGCTGTTCAAAGAAAGTAAGTGCACGTGTTTTTCTTCATTTTTATAGTCGGATAACTTTTAGGCTAAATTATTTTGTGACAATTTAATATTTCCATCAGGTAGTGGAAAAGCAACAAGTTTGTTTCGAATAGTAATGTTTTTCGAAAATTTGGAAAATTATTTATTACCAAATAAATTAAAAATGTATTAAAATTTGTTTGAATCTGCAAAATGTGGAAATGAATTTATATGAGTCCGGATAAATTATGTTATCTCACGTTGACTTTGAGGTATCATTTTAAATGTTATTAAGATAATCGTAAAAATTAAAAATAAAATAATTACTTGCGTTATTATCAAGGTGATAAATTAAAAACTTGATTTTTTTATGTTATGCATAAATAATAAGGTATTAACTATTCTCGGTCAAAAGTGAAGTATTTTGTTGGTAAAAGTGAAGGTTTTTTTTCAAAATCATGTACAATACAATAGACGTGGTGGAAGCATATATGGTCAATGATAAACAACCACCTTCACAAGGATGGGGCAGTATTGGAAAAGATGTTAAGACGATTAACTTGTTGAAAATTTCTATGCATATCTTTTTCAAGCAACGACGACTACCAAAAATGTCAAGGGAAACGTCTTTCATTACGTCTTCATCTATGAAGAAAATTGCGCAACCGCTGAAAAGATCATCCTCATATGTAGATAAAGATGAATGCAGTAATCATAGTTACGAAACTACTATGCACTTGCACTGTCCCACATAAAATGCAACATAGCTTAATAGTGCAGGCATTGGGTAGTTTTGCAAAAATGTTGCAAAAGTTTTGCTTGGAAAAAGGTGACGTCTTTATGATAATTCTACTTTTCGTTCAATAAAAATATACCACAATCTAACGCTAAATAACAATTAAAACTAGAACTAATACTAGACCGAGAACTAGAAACATTTGGATTTAGCCGCACGTCTCTCAAGACGGCTAAACCCGAATGATTCTAGTTCTAGGTCTCGTGTTAGTTCTAGTTTTGCACTAGCACTGTCACTAGACCTAACACTAGACCTAGAACTAGAAACATTCCGTTTAGCCGTGCGTCTCTTAAGACGACTAAACATGAATGTGTCTACTTCTAGGTCTAATGTTAGTTGTAGTGATAGTGTTAGTGCAAAACTAGAACTAACACTAGACCGAGAACTAGAAACATCCTTTTTATTGTTGCCGAAAAAAAAAAACTCTAACGGCTGCAGAAAGGAAAGAAATAAATTGGACTACTTCCTTAGGTTCTATCAAATGCCGAAGAAATCGTTGTCAAAAAATAAAACAGTCACCAACGAACTGACAAAAGTGCTGAAAATGCTTCAATCCACAACAGCGAGAAAATAGAAGTATGTTGAAGCAAAAATAAACTTGTTATTACTCATATGTCGCAAGGACGTCTTCGCAACTAAGCACAAAGAAAGGCTGCTGAGCTCTTTTTTTCTTTGCGAAAATATTTTCACACGCAACATAGGTTAAAGTTAAACTCTACAATAGGTTTTCTTAAATGTTTTTCATTCGGTAATGGATTGAATTTGGTTTGTCATGTCATTGAGCAGCGTTAGGCTTGCGAATAATTTGTCTGTATGAAATTTGTAAGTTAACTTCTTTTTGTAGTGGAACGATTTCTTTCCCATACAGTTGCTTGTCACTATGCAAGCATTGATGATTGTTACCGATTCAATTCGAAATTGAATAATTGCTAACTACTAGTATATATGGATCTTTTATTTTATAACGGCTTTCCCCTAAAATACTTTTATTTTTGTTAGTCTCATTCACATCATTCCAAAAAATTCAACTATCTCTGCTGTGATAAGACTTGCTTATGCTAATTTGCAACTATAAGAACGTTAGAAGAATTTTGGAAATTAACAATATCCATTTCCTTTTTCCACAGCAAAGAGAGCTTATGCTGCATCATTGAATTTGCAATGGAGCTAGGAGATGCATTTTCTTCTCCGGAAAGTTTGCTCTGCCAAATTCTATTACCATCTACTTATATAATTCTAATTGCTTTTACTTACTGCTAACAAAATAAAATTACAGCTACCAATTCCTCAACCAAGAGTTAATTATACAGGTATGACCTGATGGTTATCGACCTGACACTTTAATTTGAGACGCAGAATCTGAATTATTAATCCTAAAATCTTTGGTATAGTATTTTGATTTTCCCCATATTTTGGAATCGACATGGGAATGCAAGAAATAAATCATAAATCAAAGCTCCAATCTTGTGATAACTTTTGCAACAGCTGTAAATAACATTTTAAAATGATATGATTCCCCTTTGGCTACATTGTAATGTTTTATTTCAAGACAATCAACGTGGTCCGAGTCAGTTTAAGATTTATCTGTTACTTCAACCCCTATATTTAAACAAAGTATATTCATCTAATTTTTTCTGGAACACTAAGTGTAATTTTTAAAGTTTATTTGCTGCGCTCCTTTCATTTCGTCTACGAAGCGATTAATAGGTTAATAAGATGGTTCTTCTCTATGGTTTTACGGTTTTCTGGTAAGCGTAAGCGCCTTTCATCGCCACCCAAAGCGGTCTAATAATAGGATTGGAAAGTGAAGGAACAGCGGGATTGCGGCATGTTCAATTGTAATTGCCTGGAATTAAATCGAACGGTTTTATTTAAAACAAGATATATCTAGTATAACGTTCCGAATTATACGTTTTATAAATTAGTACCGTTATAGATTCGAAGTAACAGCAGTTTTTAATTACTAACCAAAATAAAAGTTTAAATAAGATTAGCAACTTTCTAATAAAAATAATAAAAAATTAGATAACTGCTAGATAATTAATTTCTCACACGCAATGTCGTTGCACATTTCTAATTGTACCTAGTTAATAATTTCGTGTCAAACGCGATTTAATTAGTGAACGTGAATATAACGTTTCTTGTGGAAAAGCTTGAAAAATTACCAAATTACAAAGAAAGCGTAAATTGGGCTGTTTAAGCTGTAGCCTGTGGGTGCAAATGCGAGAATGCGCGTTACGACGTTGGTTTCTCTTTAAAAAGAGAGTTCAATTAGTGGTTCAAATTGCTTATTTAGAAATATTCTATTTATTAGTGGTCATCAAATCGAATGGTAATCGACGAAGAATGTAACTTTTATATGTTTTAATTATATTTGAATGAAAAATAATTCTACAGGTGTCCTTGATAACAATTACAATATGCGTGTTGGACGTTGTTGGTGGTGTTTTAACCTTTGCGATCCCGAGGTTGCGTTACCTCCGTTCACATGAATGAATCGCGTGTTGAATGGAAATTTTACGTTTGCGACCAACAGAATGCGCCGTCGGTATTTGTAGGTTTGTGTTGTTTCTTGATGCAAACGGTTAATCCAGCGACGTGCTGTGAAGTTGTATACTTTAATTTCTTCACCAACAAACAACAACCCAACAACCACGTTCAGTGACCGTCTCGGTATGCCATTAAAGAATTAACGAACCACATCTTATGCAGACTCTTAACTTGTCGGTCATTGTCTGTAAATTTGTATTTTTTTTTATTAAGTAGATAAATTAAGTTGTAAGAATTACATTCTTCCAGATCAAAGAAACAGTTATTTTTGTAGTCAAGGTTAAGATCCGGGATTCGGAAAGTTATTTCTATCCGGTTGTAATCTAGTTTTTCTTAGGTGGGTCCAGATAAAAAAAAGAAAGTTTTTTTATACCTTGTGTTTTAAATAATGATTCTTTTTGTGTAACCTCTAATTAGTGACTTATTGCATTAAGTAAATATAACAACTTAATATTCCACAAACCCGTACGAAAACTAATTATCCACGAATTAAAAAAAAATCTTAGCCGGAAGTACGCTTGTGTTGATCGTTAAATGTTACGGCTGGCGATTCACAATGAAACGATTTGTGGTAATTAGTAGTTTTTCTCTTGCACCTTCTTGAACAAGACTAACATCTTTCACTCCACCAGCGAAGTCTCGGTCAATGATAAAAAGTGACGTCTTAAAGAGTGGGTTGAAATACGATAAATGTTCGAATAACGGTGCCTGTATAAAAAACGAACAAGCAGCTGGAGTTATAATTTAAAATATGCGGAATAGAGTATACTTTTTAGGTATTTGATGAATTATTTATAAGCGCAACAAATTTAGTAATTTCGTTAATTGGTCAATAAATTGATTAGAATTGGATAAATTTAAATTGATGCGAATGTTTCAAAACACTCAACACTTAATTTATTTTTTATAATGAATTATTTAACATGGAATTCTTTTATTATGTTTGTTCTTCAATGATTAATCTTCGTTTACCAGTCGCTAGTTTAAAATTACTAGGGTGAGAATTAATACAAGTTCTCCCCTTTCTTTTAGTCACTTGACAAACACTTTCGAGTTATAAATGACTCTCGTCAACCCTCTATTTTCTATTTAGTCAGACTAAAATTGTCAAAGTGAGTTCAAAATTAAAAGAGAAAAAGAAGGGTGTTTTCTTTTGTAATTAAACATTAAAAAAACCCGCAACTTCCTAGTTCTAGATCTAATATTAGTTCATGATCTAGATCTGCTTTTAGTTGAGTAGAAATATACAACCTAGCACTGAATAACAATTAAAACTAGAACTAACACTGTTACTATGTGAAACTAACACTATACCTAGAACTAGAATCATTTGGGTTTAGCCGCACGTCTCTAAAGACGGCTTAACCCGAATGATTCTATTTCTAGGTATAGTGTTAGTTCTAGATTTACACTTACACTGTCACTAAAACTAACATTAGAACTAGAATCATTCGGGTTTAGCCGTCTTGAGAGACGTGCGGCTAAACCCAAATGATTCTAGTTCAAGGTATAGTGTTAGTTCTAGATTTACACTTACACTGTCACTAGAACTAACATTAGATCTAGAATCATTCGGGTTTAGCCGTCTTGAGAGACGTCCGGCTAAACCCGAATGGTTCTAGTTGTAGGTCTAGCGTTAGTTCTAGTTTTAGTTCAATGAAAAATATACTAAAATATACTAGAACTAGAATTAACGCTAGAATTAGAACTAATACAAGACCTAGAAGTAGTAACATTCGTATTTAGCCGTCTTAAGAGACGTTCGGCTAAACCCGAATATTTGTAGGTTCTAGTTGTTATGCACAAAATTGTATCCTTTTTATTATAACTATATTATTTTAATATCAATACTAAATTCTTTATTAATAAAAATAAATATTGATAATGTACGATTGAAATCAATCATTTTCTGGTTAGATATCCCTGTATGTGCCTTTATATCATAATTGTCAATTTTATGACTAATGTCAATAATAGTTTTTTTAATTTTCTTATAGGACAGTGTTGGATCGAACTACAGTAACCGTGGATCAACCAAAGTATGGCGTTTCACCAGTCCCGTCTGCTGTTAGTGCTAGCTTCATTACCATTAGTCGGAATAATCGGATACCTGTGGTTAAGGAGGAAGGATTACGACGAAGAAGACTTTGACAGTCCCGAACAGTGCGAAGAAATATCAACATCCTGTACGTCTCTTGAAAAGGATATTGAAATAACAACAATCAGCTGCGAATCCCCGGAAAAAGTTTTTTCGAGGTCTTTATCTGGAATCACATCAACACCTATTGATATCATTATACCACGTCAATTGAGAGCCCACAAATCGGCGCCCGTTTTTATCTCCGACGAGGATTTAGACTTGGAGATTGAGAAGATTAAGTCTATGAAGAATAATAATTATCAGTGGAAAGAGGGGAATAATAAAACCGCTGAACCCGTTAAGGAAGAAATGAATGTTAAGGTTGGAGAGATTGAGTGCGAAAGGGCCACTTTAATGCCAGCTTCACCGATGGAGAAAGCTACGACTTCATCCACGAATATGTCCCCAAAATTAACAAAATCTTCGCCAAAGTCTTCCCCGATTTCCATGAAATCTTCTCCTAAATCTTCTTCCCCAAAGTATAAATCCCCGAAGGTTATAAAATGTACGCCACAAAAAACCATTCTATCCTCATCAACATCCCCAAAAGACCAAAAACAAGCAAAATCGGTTGAAGAACAATTTAATTCATTGAATTTGTCGCAAAAAAAACAATCTCCTCCAAAAGAATGTGTCGTAAATAATGTAAATGAAGAAATCCAACGACAAAGTTCTGAAAGAGATTCTGCAAATCATAGTCCTTGTGATGTTATGTTGGCTAGTCCAGCTCCAAGTAGTATTTCTGATAATCAAAGTGAAGGTTCTAATGATAGTGGAAAAGGTGGAAGTGATGTGGCAACTCCGCCATCTCAAACCCCAGCAAATGATGGCTCTATATCAGGAGATGCTGTTGATAGCCCAATGCCTGTAATGTATCAATTTACGATTCCTCAACATTGCGTAGGACGACTTATTGGACGCGGAGGAACTGTTATTCAAGACATCAAGTCAAAATCCCATACAAACGTTTTAGTTAAGAAACATCCTGGAAATACAAAAATGAAAATTTGCGTTATTGAAGGAACACAATTGGAGATCGACAACGCTTTACATTTAATTAGAGAAAGATTCCCATTGAAAAAATACCCGGAAATCACTTTAGAACAGTTAATAGTAGCACCATCTCTAACACCAGATCAATTGGGAGTAAGTATAAAAATCGTTATCAGTTTCAAATTAAATTATTATCTAAAAATATGTATATGTTTTAAATATCAAGTCATGTGCAGATCTTTGACCTAAATCTGTGTATCACTTGAAAAAAAAAATATTAATATTAATCTAAAGTGTACACTTTTCATAAACAGTTTATTATCAGTTCATTTTTTTTTTATTGAAATATTTTTGGATTTATTCGCACCAGCCTTTGATTTTATCATCGCTTACATATTATTATTTTCTAGAGTAAAACCACAAAAGCACGTGCTAGTAAAACTCCAGAGATATGTACAAAAAAAAGTTCGGCGCGAAAACCAAAGGAAAATTTAAAAAAGAATTAAAACAGAACGTGTACTTGTATTGAATAAAATTTTATTTATTTAAATTATTTATTTATTATAAAGTGTAAGAGTTTGAAAAAAAATTAATAATGTAAATTAATTTTGCAAAGTGTACAATTATTCTGTTTTACAAACATTTTAGTTAACTTTGCATTTTTTTTCTTTTTGGAATTCATTTAGAAGTATTATTTTTTTGTCAAATTTTTTTTGCAATGTTAATAATTCAGCTGGAAATGCCAGAATGTAATCATCTTTTGATGAATCTTCATAGATATGTTTTTAAAAGTCTGGGCGAAGAGGAGAAGGAGAATTATTCGTTATGATTCTATTTTGACCAATTTGGATTATAAGGGATTATCTCCTGAATAGATTTGCAAAATTACAAAGATGGAAGTTGTCAAAATTGTTTACTGAATGCGTGTGCCATCAAAAGCCACAATTTTGCAATAAACCGATTTTTATACAAAGTGGGGCATAACACAAAATTCAAAATATTTGTAGTAATCTGTATCATTGGTAGTATTTCTGCAGTGTTTTTGTATATTAAACATTTGAAATCGAGAATTTGACAATGTTGGTTTTAAAAATGGTGTTTGGATTCAATTTTTAAAATAAGAAAATTGCATACATTGTTGTTTTGTAGCCCACTACGGGTTGGTTACCCGCTCTCTACGTCACACTATTTGCCCCGCCCAGTTAACTGTCATTGTGTTCTATGCGTTTGCTGTGTATTTTTAGAGGTTATATCGTAGACATATTCATATTATTTTTAAAGTTTTATTTTTTAGACGTATTAATGTCTATCATATAACCTCTAAAAACACAGCAAATACATAGAACTCAATGACAGTTAACTGGGCGTGGCAAATAGTGTGACGTAGAGTGTGGGCAACCAACCCATAGTGGGCTACAAAACAACAATGGATGTAGCAGTCCTGTTAGATTCTACTGTCCTTTAGGATTTAGGAGATTGATACTTTATTGTAACCTAATTTATTCAAACTGTTTCTTTCACGGCAATGTAGTTGGGTTTTTTTTACTTCCCATTTTTACCAGGTTCAATACTTGACATATGATCCAATACACCAAATGGCGCTAATGAAGGAAATTTTATTCATATAGGGTCTTCACCAGGAGGGAAAAGCAAAGATTTTGTCTAAATTTTGTAAAATTTTTTATTTTTGTCCTAAGTATTTGTACTCTGAGGTTAATAACGGAATATAATATCTGCCAAATGTCCTCTTCGGGAATTCTTTTGATGAAATTTTTCATTACGTGTTCGCATAATTGTGGCCCTATCATTGCTGGAGTGTTGGCGTAGACCTTATCTTTGACATAGCCTTAAAGAAAAAAGTTTAAATCGCACGGAATTTTTCACACAATAGAGTAATCGTTTGACGACCAGTGTAGTATTTGCACCATCCTGCTGAAAATAAACGTGGTCAACACTCATAGCATCAATTTCTGGACAAAAAAATCATCAGTTATCTGGATTTTAATAAGTCCAATTCCTGTGAAAGTCTTAATATGGATAAACCTGGTTTTCATCCACATTCTGAGCTACTGCAGCGATATTTTTTGCAGACCTGACCGGAAGAACACAAATTAAGGTCTTCACATCACTACCTTATGCAAGACTTTCAAATTATGGACTAACTTTACTATAGCAGGATGAGCTTGATGATGACCAAAACCAGTACGAACTGTCTCCGCGAAATTCTCGCCATTTTTATAGTGAATTTTCACTATTTTAATATGTTGGGTCAGTGTATATCGATTCATTTCTTATAACCTCACAATTTTTACTTGTCAAATACAATATCACTGTCGGATTTATTTTGTCAGTTCAAAAATTTAAAATGAAACCTCTTATTGGAAGACCCTTTACAAGATACCAGTCACTATTGCATAATCACCAAGTAGTGTAAATTGAGGATGCAATGTTAGAATGTTTATTCTTGCGAATGTTCCACTAGATATTTAATTTGGTAAAACGAAAGCCTTGTAAAATGAAATATCGAGCATATTAAAAAATAGTGTTCGTAGTTCCAATTATCTGGCTGGTCTAAACACATAGACTCCGTTGATTTGTTGCAATTTCTTCTTAAAATTGTCGATCCAAATAATCAAATGATGTGTGGAAAATAAAGTAATACATCAAATTTTCTTAGGAGTCAGTTTTTTAAGATTTTAAACATCATCACATAAAAATAATAATATAGCGAATAATAAAATACTTATCTAACGAATTTTATTTTATTTTTTTTTCAGTTAAGATTAATAGAAGGTATCAATAACGACACAATGGTTAGCTTTATGATGGAACCTAACCGATTTTTTATTCAATTCCCAACGCATCCATCTTTCCCCTCTTTAAATATCCTCAGTACCAACATGACCGAATTTTACAATACCAATGAAACCCCAGCTGTACCTCTTCCAATAGCTGGTAAGTAACATAATTACACAATCATTAATCACAACACTTACAAATTTTTTTGCGTAGATTTTACGATATGCGCTTGTCACCTCGATGGTTTCTGGTATAGAGTGATGGTGACAAAAAGCGATGCAGAAACAGATAGTTCTCACGTCACGTTATTAGATTATGGCGGTTATTATTGGGTGGAAAACAGTCGATTAAGACAAATTAGCGGAGATTTTCTTTTGCTGCCATTCCAAGCCACTGAATGTATATTAGCTAACATTAGACCTATTGGTGGTATGTTTTATATTATGACCTAAACATATTTTCTTTATCATAATTAAATTGTTCTTATTTTTTATTAATTAAAGGTGAAAGTACTTGGCCCAAAGAAGCTTATGAAGTAGCAGCAGAACTCGCAAATAGAGCATTAGCTTGTACACAAGTAGCTGATTATACAAGCAATGGTATACCACTAGTCTACATGTATATTGTTGCTGGTCATCAGGTAAAACATTTTTTAAGTCTTAACTGTCTCAGGTGAAACCGAAATGTTTTTAGTTGTTAGTTGTAGTTTTATTTTTAACCAATTTATATTATATTCTAACATTACTAATTTCTTTACTTTATAGGATATAGTGTTCCTAAACCAAGAATTAGTCGATAGAGGGTATGCAGAATGGATTTCATATTCACAAGTTGAAAGCAGAACCACCACAACGCGAACATAAACAATAAGAAAAATAAAAGGAAAAAATTTGAAATGAAGAAATGGGGTCTTCGTATTTATTATGACAGAAACGGAATTGAAATACGTTTTGAAGTCATGTAATATTATCGTTAAAAGACTTTTTACCTGTTTTTTATATGTGTACATAATCTATTTAGTGCGTCCAATTTAGGCGATACAATTCAAGAAGATGTTAAAGTATTTTGTTACGTTTTTTTTTCTTTACATTTTTCTTTTCTACACATTTTTTTTGAAATATTTCTTTTTTAATTATTATTACCCTTATGTATGTTAACTACTTATGTACTAATTAAGAACTATTATTACAATTTTTGACTTGTACAGCTGGTTTATGGCGCACTATTTTCGTTGGAGTCCGGATGATTTTATGGTGTATTATTATTTTTTTTTAATTTCGGATAAAAGAATGTGGTTGTGTGTTTAAAAAAGCGAAGATTAACTTATAAGACTTTTTTTTGTTAAATTAGCGGTTTTATTTAGTAACAGAAAGAAGTGATGAATGCAATTATCTTCCAAAACAAAGTTTTATGAAAAAAATGATATACAGGTGTTTCTTTGGTTTATGGCATAATGATACATTAAAAAATAAAAAGCTTATTTAAGCTGGATTATTATATTTTTTTTTAATTATGACTTAAATCATAGAAGAAATCCTGTGTAGACACAGTATATATGGAAATAATATGTATACCACATAATATAAGATACACCCTGATAGATTTTTTAATGACTATGTTAGAAGAGTAATTGTATATATTGTATTTTCGAATATATTAACTGGTAGTCAGTAGGTTTTGAGCCTTACATTTAAAATTGTATATTTTTTCTTATTTTTTTCTGGGGTTTATTTTTCTAAGCTTACATTTATAATGAGAGGGGGTGAAATTTTGTTTTTATTTTTGCAAAAAAATATGTATAATTAAATATTATTGTATTTCAATATAAAACAATAATTACCAAGTACAAAAACGTTTATTCTATAACAATTTCAATTTTTCTTAATTTTATTTTTTGTGTAAATGGCTGTATATTATTACTTGATTATATTTGGCACGAAATAGCTTTATTTTGAAATTATTTTAGTGGTTTTGTTTGGTACACCCTCTCTTTTAGAAAATTGAAGTTATTTTAATAACATAATTTATAAGTCATTTTTTTTTATTTGCAATACGAGTAAATTTTGATTAAGTAGCTTATATAAATGATTGTATGTGCTTCTTTATGTATGAGCTACTTAAAATAAAATATAATACTCTATTTGTTGTACTTTTTTTTATTACTCTATCACCATATGAATATCTCTGGGCAAATGTTGTAATGACTGCATAAGAAGTAGAGATGAATTAAACTAAATATCATATTAAACATAAAAATAAACAAGAAATATATCTAAAATTTAAATTTTATTAAACTTTACTACACATATTTTTCATGGTCACTTAAATTTATAGTCCATTTCAATATAAAATTGCACAACAGTTAAAAACATTGCAAATATAAACAATTTCCATCAATTCCATTTTAATTATAATGGTACATTTATACATACAAAACATTTTGTAAAATATCACTGATTTTATCTAGCAATTTTTATTGTCAATATGGAATGAAATCACATGACGCTTGTTTTACCAAAAAAAAAACAAAAAGTATTGATTGTTACTATTAAGGTGGGTATTGTTTTTTATGCTTGAAGAAGAAATATTGAAAGAGGAGGTGCTCTTAATCAATTAAAAAATGTTTATCACCTTGTCGTATTGATTATTATGATGGCAAACACCGACAATGCAAGACAACAAAAAAAAAGCGTGGTTACCAAAAGATTGGTAACATTTCATATAAATTATTTTTAGAAAAAAAAATCTAAACGTAATTATTATTTAAATTAACTCCAAACGTCCGCTGATAATCTCTTTTGCGTTTCCATTTTCTTCAGGTATGCTGCAGCTTCTTGTTCTGACATGTTACCTTTTTGCATCAAAACTTTAATAACCACGTTACGGACATCGTTTGCCATATGACGAGCATCACTAAGATAAAGAATCAATTATTACTTAAAATTTCAATATGATTTTAAAAAAATACTTACCCACAAATATAAAAGTGTCCATTTTCCTCAACAATAATCCTATAAAGTTCATCAGCATTCTGTTCCATTAAATGATGTACATAAACTTTTTTAGGTTGATCTCTTGAAAAGGCACAATGTAATTTTATCACTCCATCTCTCTCATACTCCATTAATTCCTCTTCATAAATAAAATCTTCGGCTCGTTTTCTACAACCGAAATAAAGAATGGTTTCACCAATAGTATTTCCATCATTTTTCATAAAACTTCGTTCTTGTATAAATCCTCTAAATGGAGCAAATCCAGTTCCTGGACCAACCATAATAATAGGCATTTGTTGTTTTGGAGGTAATCTAAATTGGGATTTTCTTATAAAAACTGGTACAGTCATGTTTACATCCATATTCGGTTTTTTCTTGGCTAACCATGTTGTAGCAACACCTTTATTAGTACGTTTCGTGGGAGTTTCATATTCAACAAGAACCGCTGTTATATGAACGGTATTTGGATGAAGTTTTGGCGAAGAAGAAATTGAATAATATCTTGGTTGAAGACGAGGTAATAATTCGCAAAGATGATCCAAAGCTGGTTTACACGAAGGTAAATCTTCTAAAATATGAACGATATTACGGTTGTCATCAATAATCCATTGGTGGTAGAGAGCTTTTCCTTCAGGAGTAGTGGAAGCCATAAGTTTTAATTTTTCTTTTTCCGCAGGATCTGAGCAGTATTCACTTAATTCTTTTAAGACGTGAGTTCTTGGATTCATCGTTATATCAACGTAATGAGTCAATGCGGTTCTATATGAACAAGGACACGGGAATGGATGTTTTTTACTTGATTCTTCATCGGTATTTATCAAAGAAAAGATCGTATCCAAATCTTTATTGGTAAGTTTGCCAAGTTTATTAATTAATTCTTCGTTGTTAACCGGATAAACCCCAATATGATCGCCAGTATCATATCGCATTTTTGAACCTTCAATATCAAATTCAATGTGCATGCAAGAACGATCACTCGTGTTTTTATGGAGTTCTCTGTTAACGACAACTTCGGCTAAATACGGATTTTTAGCATCAAATGGACTAAGAAAATTAAAGTAAAAATTAATTTTTATAATTAAAAGGGTTCAAAATGTAACTTACGATCTTTGATTTTTTAATGAATGTATTCTTGCCATTTCACCAGTGAATACACGATCGGGAATATTTACTGGAAATTCTTGTAATCTGTATTGACGGACGTTAACATCTTCTCCAGTTGATTCGATTCCGAAGAATTCGCATACAGCTGGCCAAAAACGGTCTTTCCATGTAATAAAGTCATCTTCAATACTAAATTAGAAAAAAAATACAACTTTTAAGATTAAATATTATTAAGATTTTGCAAAAATGGTAATAATAAAGTATTACTTTATTTTAAAGTAATTTTGAATTAATTCGCAAAGAGTGGATGATATGATGTGATTTTAGTGCAAGATGGTGAAGTTACATATTGGCGGTGATAGGAGAAGGCCGAAAAAGAGACGAGTTGCAGAGAAAGCGTTATAAGTACAAGAAACAATAAGGCTAAAGCACCAGCTCCTAAATATTGCTCTAAGATAAGCTTTATAAGTATGAGTTACCACAATTTTTTTTAACTATATCTGTACCTTGAAATATAATCGTATTTTGCCATAAAATATAAACTGAGCATTATTAAGTATGATATTGTTTCTCTAAAGAGAAAGAAACTGACGTTTGACGGTTGATAAGAAGTGACGGAGAGAATGGTGGAGAAGATAAAGCTAGCAGAAAACTCAGAGTTGAAACATAAAGTCATGAATATTTAGAAAATACTAGGGCAAGGAAGTGAAAGGAAGGCAACTATAGCAAAAATATATAGATTTTAACTTATTCATGCATATACATTTTCATGGTCTTATTTCATGGCACAAGATTTGCTATTCTTTGCATGATTTTGATTTATTCCACAATATCTCAAGAACTCCAACTGATAGGTATAGGGACATGTACTGAAGCTAATCAAATATGGGGTGTTCCATTTAAAATTTTCGACTTTTTTGCAATTGAATATGGTAAAACAGTAGCTATATTTTTGAACACTCTGTATAACGTAGACCGATGGCGCTCTATTTAAGGATATCCAAGCAGCAACTGTTACAAATTTTAACTTTCTATCTCAATCAGTCGT